AGATCGCCAAGCATGCTTTCACCAACTTCGAGAAACAGTTGCGTGACAAGCCTATCCTTGCTCTCGTCAACGACAAAGACTCAACCGAGATCGACGACGCTCGTTCTACCACCTACAAACTGCGCACTGTTCCTGCCAGTGCTGACAGTGCCAAGTACACCTTCGAGGTTGCCATCATTGATAGCACTGTCACTCCTCGACAAGCCATCATGTGGGCTGCGTATGGAGAAAGTTTTCACCGGACTCAACCTTACCAATGCAAACGAGAAGCATAATCTCCTCAGAGAGATGACTACTGGCTCCGCCAAGAGTGCTTACGAAGCTGCCTGTGCAGGCGGTCGTATCGTTCGTCACATCGCGCTCAGACAAGCCGCAGTTGACGCTCAGCCAGCACGCGATGAAACCAATGGTGAAACACCAGAGGCCCATCAAGCTTGCTTGAACGCCACTTGGACCGCAGAAGCTGAGCCTTCTTTGGCCGACAGCGACATCACGATGGGCATGAACGCCGTCATCGAACAAGCCTGTCCTTACAAGGCTCTTGAAAAGCAGAAGCATTTCATGCATCGCAAGATGCGCAAACCTGCTGACATGACGACTCGTTCCTATGTCAACAACCTCACGCGCATGAACAACGATGAACTCCCGAGGTCGTTTGCCACCTTTCAAACCGGATCAGCAGCTGAACCACAACGAAATTGTGGACATAATCTGCCATGGCATTCCCAGATCCCGGATGCGCAAAATGGACGAACACGACTTCGATCCTTTCACAGCCACCCTGATGAACCTCATCGGATTCTGCGAACGCATGGAATCCGCCGAGACTTCGAAAAAGGCTCTGAAACCAAACCTGCTGCCTCCAAGAAGAGCAGTAAGAAGAGTACAAGTCTAGCCGCAACAACCATTCTTCCAAGGAAGAAGGCAAGTGGTGCAACTATCACGAGTCCAGCAGCACTCACGATACTTCTGAGTGCCAGACCCTGAAGAAATGTGAATGCAACGCTGTTGCTCAACGCAAGTCGGATAGCTCTGACTCTGATGACGACTCTTCCGTCAACTCCATCAACATGATGGATAAGAAAATGGCCGAAGTCGACAAGCAGCTTGCTGACTTTGACTTCGACAAGTCTGATGGAGAGATCTCTGTCTGAAGATTAGGCGGGGACGATGATTCCACGGAACCATGTTCCGATTTTTCATACCTTAGTGAAGATGATAACTCACTAACTAGTAAACAAGAATTGTTTGCAGCTGACGAAATCTACAAACAGGAAGACGATTGCCTAGAAGCCGCTCAATTAGAATCAGACGATCTATTTAGCATTGTTAACCTTGTTAACCTCGTCTGTGGCCAACCACCTCGTAAACGTCGAAAGACTAGAGACCTCAAGCCCATCATGTGTATGTTAGATTCAACTCACGCTTGGGAAAAGCAAAATGCAATACACGGCTCTTAGCCTTATTCGCGACTCAATCCTAGATAGGGCTTGAGTTCGACTCATGACGTAGTCCCTCGCGAATAGTCATTGAGACAGGGTTCTCATGACCGCTAGTCATACTAGGTTGTCAATGAAACATCGCTCTAGATATTCGGCTGCATCTACAAGCACCTTCGCAAGCAAGGGATGAGTCACTTTTTCACGGGAAGCCAAATCGAATCGAGGAGCTTCCCCTCTGAATCTGTCACTACAAGAACAACAACACTAATAGCAACAAACACAACCAATCGGTCATACCTATACCATTACACTACCTATTAGACCCATTGGAAGCATTGAAATGAAGCGAAAGGACCTCAGGAAGCTTGTTATCTGTTATTTTGTTGAAGAGTACTGTTTTACTATAGGATTCAACTCAACGTCATCACAGAAAACATACATCCTTTCTCCTCTCTTTACAACCTATTCAAGCCGAAAGGATCGACACCTCCTATCTCCTATCAAGCGCACCACCCCCATCAAGCGACTATCAAAGCGGCCTTCTCCGGTTCAGATTAGAAAGCCATCCCAATTGAAATCCTACGAGATCGAGCAGGTTTTCTCTTCTCGACCGCCGCCGACCAAGTTGGAAGAAATTGAACACAAGAAGAAGTCACTGGCTTTCCGTAGACTCAGCAGTGCAAGTTTCCTCCATACTCTGCAGTGAACTGACATTGCTCTTCCTACCGACGGCCCAAGAAATCCCATTGTCGCCCTTTTCGTACGATCGTATGATCGAACGATCGTACGATCGAACGATCATTCCGCAACAACAACAACAGGCTCGGTTAACCTTACCCCTAGGGCAACTGACTCACCGAATCCCTTGAACCGAATCGAATCTTCGAATCGATCCAAGACTCGCTACTCCGTGAATCGATCGAATCTTCCCGCGACCGCACCTCTTCTCCGTATCTCCTCATCCGTACGCAGCCTACTATCATCAAGCGGGACTTCACGAGATACCTGCAGTGACCACCGAGAAAAGAATTACAGCTGTATTTCTTACTTTCTCACCGGCCACTCTGGGCTTCTCACGACGTCCTTGTTGGAACTGATCCTACTGATCCAACCAGTCCTATCCTTATACAGACTGATTGACTGATCAACACCTGCTACTGTTACCGCTCCTACATTGGTATCTAACTCCTCTCCCAGAGGAACAACAAACAACAACAGAGTTCCTGTAAGGAATTTAGTTGCCACCAGTTGGATACTGTCTCAGCTTGTACTTTGGGTCCACTGAGCACAGTCTCCACCCTGAACAAGACATATTTCCAGGCTTGGCTGCATTTTTAGAGTTTTGACAGCCCCTCCCTGGGATATCCAACTCCTCTCCACAGGATCCTACCCCCACAAGAACAACTACAAAAGCTGCCCCTCTAGCGTATTTGGCTAGATTGTGCACCAATTCATTGACACAGCCACCTCTCTGCTCATATCTGCCTCTCCTACTGAGCTTAAGGAACCCCAAAGGATTGAGCCCCAGACAGACCTGCAGCGTGGTGTGGTATAGATATTAATACATAACTGACTCTTTCCCTCTCGCATTGATTGTTGAGTGACTCTCCAGTGACTTTCCCCAGTTCCACCTGAATCGAGTACCCTCCACATCTTGGCTTGACTCTCTGTTGCATGTCTGCCCCTACAACAGATTGAGTACCAGCCTTTGAGACAACACAGTGTCATCCAGTAACACAGCCCCATCAACCAACAACACCCCTTGATCCCCCCACCACTGCCCCTACTGGCTATAGCGTCACTTCTCCAGTTTTCCCTGAAAGAATCCCTAACAGCCTTTGGCTCTGATCCCATCTTCTCCTGCAGGTAGTGGTATACCTGCACCAGACTTGGCCACAGCCTTTGATCCAGTGGCAACAACAACCCAACAACTTGATATAAACCTTGATTACCAGTGCCTCAGTGCATTGCCCCTTGAATAAACCCTTCTACATCAATCCTCTCGCCACCTCACAAGCAACCTCCATTGCTTGAGTTGAAGCAACGACACTACAGTCAACACTCCAGGATACACAACTCTCCCACCAACCCACCTACCACCCACCATGACTTCCCCATGTCTACCCACTACTTCACTCAAACCCAAGGTCCTTCCAGACATCCCCCCACTCCCACACTTCACCCAACCAACCACATCCACCATCCTCCGCAGACTACACAACACCACTCCCCAGATGATCAGCCAACAGCTCCTAGAGCATGCAGCCATCTTGAGGATCACACCCTTCCGAATCACACCCTACCCTATCAGGGAGGATGCCTTTGTTCTCACCCTTGAACAGAGGCACGCCTCTATCCTACAACACACCATCAACCATGCTACATCCCAACTCCTACAACAACACTCCAACACCAACAGGATCTCCCCTCCTGCCCCTGGCACCAGCCCACTCCCAGTGCCCCCTTATCCTCCTTCCATTGACTCAACAACCCCTCGAACAGCCCACAACACTCCAGCAGCCACTGTGCCTCCCTCCTGGGAACCACAGACTGCCAGTGTGTCATTTGACCCCATCTTTTGCCTGCTTGTTGGCCTCTATCTAACAATTTTTGTGCATTGGATGGGTTACACCCTGCTCTGGTCCAGCCTGAGGAGTACCACCTCCTACGGGCTCTGCTGGCATCTTGCCTTGCATGCCAAGGCACTTGCCACAGCTTGGGACCTGATCACCCAGACACACTTACTGGCGAGCACTCTTTGGTCTGGCAATCTATCTGGTCCTCACGGCCCCTTTGGTGATAATGGTTTCAATACCGACAAAATCCTGTGTAAGCCCCTGTAACCCAGGTTTTGCGCTGCAGGTTCCCTATCAATGTGCTCACCCCCCTACCCAGGGCATCTGTCTACTTGGTGCTGGCTCCACGTTGGGCCAGTGGATGAGGTCATGTTGATTGGGCAAACAAAGTAGATGACGACTCAGCTAGGTGGGGATCTCCCCCACCACTTGCCCGCGTCATAAAAGTCACTCCGTGACCAATAGTTTGCTAAACTAAATGAGTAATTTAACCCCCCAAGCAAGGGATGAGTCAAAAGAGAAAATGCAAACATTATCTTCTCCGTATTGACTTCAACGACCGTGAAGGCCTGGAATACCTACAGATCATTGTGGAGGTTGGTGAGTCTGTCGACAAGCTCAATGAATGTCTTGTCTTTGAGGAGCAGCTGTTGGAAGCTTTAGATTGTGGCCTTGATGAGGATGGAGAGGACGAAGAATGAGCAGGCGAGTCGCTTTTGGAGATACCTCCACACTTGTCGCCTTCCTCAGCTTGCCACGGAGCCACTAACCATCCTCTGACTTGCCACACAGGCCAATGGACTCCTCTGCAACAATAGTCGGCCACTCTGCTATCTCAAGGGCCTACGGTAGCCACCTCTGTGGCTCCTCACCAAATGGAGATAGCTCCATTTTGGCACCATGGCGGCCATGTTGCCCCTTATTCCGGTATCCTCGTGCTATATCAGTGCATGCAGTGGAGACATGAAGTAGTCATCAATCTAAAGAGTATAAAGGCGTCTTATCAGTTCAAAGATTAGCTGAATCAGACAAGAATTGATGGAGATATGGCCAATTGAGTGGTGGCACCAAATGGTGGCAGGTAGCTGCATTTTGATGACTCTCCAACACGAGGCACTAGGTCCATTTGGCTCCCTTTTCACTGATCCACCTGGATGAATGCAGGGCAATGTGCCAGAGTAAAACCTAGCTACCTACCGTAGCTAACCAGACTTGGTGCAATTGGGCTCAACATGCTTCCACGCCTGGTACAAACGTAAAGACCTGAGGATCAAGTGTTCCACCAACTGCAGGAAAAATAACGTGTTATCATGCCTTCCCGTCACATCCCGGGGAATTCCTCGACCGTTTTCGTCGCCCGTAGTTCTGACAGAGATATCAACGGGCGTCCCGGTACCGGTACCCAGCAGATTCTTTTGGAAATCCTCTATGCCTTTGCCTCGGAGGTCCTCAAAATCGTCTTCCTCACCCGACACTGCAGTCGACATCACCAGGATACACTTACGAGTTTGCTCAAGAGCTCTAAACAAGCGTGTAGCAGCATCATCGCTTCTCTCCAGGCGAAGAGGGATGGTCAACATTCTCTTGATTAGTATCCCTGTCTCGGCAAACAGCGCCAAATGGGATGGAAGGAAATCGTACTCCGCGTCGTTACGGATCTGTATCCAACTGCATGGTTAGTACAGTACAGAACAAATCAGTAGAGACACGGGAGATAAACAATCACTCTTGCATCGTACCATTCCATCCATCACGACAATAGTGGTTTGAATCCGAAGAGCCCGGGCCAACGTTCTTGCTATTTCCATTTGCATGTCACTGGATGCCGTCTTGTTGATTCCCAAATGAAATGGATCGTAGTGAGCCAAGGGAAACAGCATCTTACTAAGTCTCCAGTCTGCAATGGCTTCCTCATATTTTTTCAGAGCAATATCAGCCCTGGCAATGGACTCCCTGCTGCAATCGCTCCTTAAAGAATCTGACCTCAAGAACTTCCATTCAATGGCGCTCTCGAGAGGTGTTTCCAGGATGTCATCGGCCAATCTATTTACTGCAATGTGCCCTGCAAAGAAGTCGGCTGCAGTTTGGAGAACTGCCTCAGAAGCATCTCCTGCCATTTTGACTTGTCGGGCAGCCTTGTCTAGTAGCACATCGGTAGTGGACTTTGGGCAAACCACAATAGAACCTAGCGCCCCAAGCAGACAGCCCACAATGACATTGACGACTCTCCAGACGCCCGTATTCCATTTCGGATCCTCATCTACGGCAAAGGGTAGCATACAGATGCAAAAGGTCAAGACACAGAGGATGGTGGCGTAGGCAAACTTGCGAATAACCTTGACCGTCCCCACTTTTGTTTGGCCGGCTGCAAAGATGATCCCAAAGACGAAGACAAACATGCAACATTCCAAAAACATTGCCTGGGTTTCTCTTGACTTGAAGAAAAAAATCGAGGCAAAGCCACATGACAGACCCAGAAATGCCCCAACAAATGTTCCAATTAGTCTAATAGTTCATGCCGAAACAAAGAGTGAGAATCATGCCAACAGCAGTGCTTTTATAAATACCCAATCAATCACGGATCTAACCTTTGCATGATCTTTTCGATGACTGAAGCAGCATCCAAGGCCGGGAACCAGCAAACGAAGAGAACCGAGACCAACACCCACATCCCATCGGGAAAGTGCCAAGTATCTGTTCGGACGAGGACAAATAGAGAAGATAATGACAATACAACTGCCATTCGAAGCGCAAACTGCAAGGCGCCCTTGTCGATCCTTTGCCATATGGATTGGTGTTTCTTCTCTCCCGCGTTTTCAGTAAGGTCATGAGGGCCAAGAAGAGAAGCAAATCTCTCGTCGCAGTCGCTTACTGAATCTGTAGATGTGTGACAAAACGTGGAAACACTGGAAGCAGGAGACATCCCCTGCGCTGTAGGAGGCCGAACCTCATCATCATCATCGCTACCGGTAGAATACTTTGACTGACTCCGCCCCAGCAATGGGCTTTGTTCCGGCGATGGGCCATCCTGGGCTGTAGCCCGGGCCACCATCTTGACAATGGTGGCAGTTCCGAGAGAAGACAACGATGGCTGTGCTCTCTCTTGGAATTGTGTGACTGAGGCAATGGAATGGAAATCGGAGCGACTCCAAAGTGACAGATATCTTGGAAGACAGATCCGAGAAAGATAGACGCCTCAACTTCCTTGATGGCTGCAATTGAAGACCAGGTGTCCCAGATGGTTACCGATTGCCTGCCAACTGATATTGGATGTTCTTTTTAACAATTACTCAATTACAGCAAGTGCGTTGGTCCACGTCCTCAAAATTTTGCATTCTGGGTCCTTCAAGCAGTGAAAAGCCATTCTTCCATCGTTTCGAGCGAAAATGTGGCAGCTCTGCTCAGAATTTCTCGGAGGCCAATTCAGAATGCTTTCTATGTCCGAACGCTTTCCCTGATATGAAGAAACACACCGGTGCCGAGATGCTCCAGCATGCTTGTTCTGGTACATGCACAACATTATGCAATAGAGCGGAGACCGACTCGTAGCTAGGGTACAGTTGAAGGAAAGCTAATCAGTTCTATTGGATACTACTGATGGTTGACTAACCTGAAACTCCCAGGGTTCCGGGGTTGACCTGAAACTCCCAGGGTTCCAGGGTTGACATGCCCAGTACCAACTTGTAGATGGGAAAGGTCTCGTCACTTTGGTTCTCTCAGCAGTGAGCCCAAGCGGAAGCCAACAAGTATGAGAGGACTGTTTCCTTGAATATTTCCAGTCCGGCATAGTAGAGAAACATCTCTACTCATTGCCGGGAATGCTGAGGCTTGATAGATGGCTACTTGAGAAAGAAAATAAGTATAAAACAGCTCAAATGTGGCCCAAAGCTCCTAGCTAGCTACTGGTACCACAGAACATTGAGCAATCTAATGAGTGAGTTTGGAGGCAAGGTCCAGAATTTGGACAAGTAAGTTCCCCTGACGTCTGAAGTGCCTTTTATTTCTTTGACTCCCGCAAATTTTGCGTTCTTTCCAAGCTTGCGAAGTGCTTCCTCTCTTCCTCTGTGCATTTCTGTTGGTGCTCGAATTGCGGCCAAAAATTTGATCAAGACATTTGCCAGGGCTCGATCACCTTCTCGCTCGGCTCGATGCGTGTCAGAAAGGTATTTTCGTATGACGGACAGACGACTCGGGATCCACAATCACGGTTCGTGATTGGGGATGTGTGACTCAAATCAGATGGTTATCCGATCATCATCAGATGGCCAGGTGTACGAGGAACGAGGACAATGGTCGTCTAGATGATGCAACTACAAAGGTAGGAAGTAGGTCGAAGAGAGAATGCAAGGAGCGACGGGATGGAGCAAAATGAATGGACGGATGGAGGTCCATAGGTTTAGTAAAGTGGGAAAGCCCTCAGGGCCAACCATGCACTTCAGGAAGATAGACGACGAGATCTATCTGTAGATGAAACTGCGAGAAGCAAGGATCGAAAGATCCTGGTAATGTATGCATATCGGAGCTCAGTTGTAGAGCTCACAATCTGAACGAGGAGAGAAAGAAGAAAAACGAAAATAGCCAGTCTACTAGACAGTAGAGCTGAAGGATATTGATTAAATTAGAGAAATTGTGCGTTCAAGTTCACACCTTTTCACACGTTTTAAAACGATAGCTATCAGGAAAGAGTGAGCTGGATCCAGGTTGTCAAACAGAAAAGAGAAGAATTGAGAAGTAAGTAAAGATGTCTACGGAGGTAGAGGTATCATCGTCGAGCAAGTATCCCATCTTCGATGGGAAAGATGAGAAGTTCAGGTTCTACAGGTCAAGATGATGGCCCATTTATCGAAGTATGGGTACGAGAACTGATGAAAGACTCTACGGGGATCAAACCGGACAACTGGGAAAACCCTAAAGGTACGGGCAAGTTGTCGGACGACGAAGTAGAAAGATCGAAAGTCTGCAGAAGAAGAACAGCAAGGTGCTGGAATACTGCTGGATTCGATCAATTTGGAGACCATCGAAGGGCAAGTCGCCTTCGACCTACTGGCCTCACACCAAAACGACTGACCATGCTGCTGGGAAATTCAAGGGCATGTGGGAGTCCATGCTGGACCTCTACGATGCTGAAGACAGTTGGTGAGTAGCAGCTCGACGAACGGAATTCTACGCGATAAAGATGGACATCAAGGAAAAACCAAAGAAGTTCGAGATTGGACTCGACGTGAAACGCAAGAAGCTAGCGAAGGAGGGTTAAGATATCGGACGAAGAGTACATCAAGAGACCTTCTCGAGAAGATGCGAAGAAGGAAGGAGAACTCGGAGTGTACCATGAAGTGAAGAAGAATGTTCTGCGAAGGATCAAGACAACAGGACATGGGATAACGGTAAAGAGTGTGGTTGGATGACTTATGCGAAATCTATGATGAGATTAAAGCACGGAACAAGTCGACAGACCAAATGGCGAAACAGCTTTCATGATTGGAGGAAAACAATTCAAGGCAGATGCAGGAACTGTGGAAAGATCGGACACAAGCAACAAGATTGCCCAGACAAGAAAGGCTCGAACGGAAGAAGCTACGGACAAAGGTACCAAAGAAAGTCAAACGGTAAAATCAGCAGGAACAATGGGAGCAGTAGCGGATTTCAAGGAAAGAAGAAGTTCAGCGGAAATGCTTCCACTGTGATGAGGTTTCGCATTGGAAGAATCTTCCTCTCCGAGCATCATACTCTGGGGTAATCCTTCCTTCTGCAGGTGTTTGATTGCCTCGTTGCGCCATGCGTCTGCTTGTCTGCTCACGAGCACGCTGACCAGAATCAAGCGCTTCCACCGTACAATCACTGGCCATGGTTGTGCGAATCCGCTTCTCCCAATAGTGGCATATCCACGTGCACCTTCCAATCCCGATTGTATTGAGCCTGTGCGACCATCTCCGTTACATACTTCACTTCTACTTCGGGAATGCTGAATGCCGTGAACCCGAGCATTCCTGCGTTTCCTGTTCCTTCGGCGACGTTTGGTCCGCGCTTTATCTTGCACGTTAACATAGCCCCTGCATTGTTGTCGTGTCTGGAGTCCAATCGCGAAAGAGCAACAAATGCTGGCCCAACCTAGCACTTCCGCCTGGAGCTCCACGAGATGGGGGTTGTTCTGTATCTCGTATGGCATCATCCTCAGCAACCATCTGAACTGTTCGAAGTTTCCGACCAGTGCTTCATCTCTGGGCTCGAGTGCCCTTCCCATATTTCTTCGGGATTAGTTGGCATGCTTCTTCCGCGATTCTCCTCCACTGTATACCACCTATGTGTGAATCGTCCAATTCCCATCCTTCGGTTGCTCGGTTCATGGGATGTCGGTTGTTCAATGGGATTGGATGTTTGCTGATCTTCATCATGTGTCGACTCCAACCTCGGTTCAGCTGTTCCTCTAGCACGTCCGGGCAACTTGGAATCTGTTCGCCATCTTTTAATTCTTCGTCGTCTTCGCTCAAACAGCTGTAGTAGTTCGTCTTCGTAGATTGTGGGCGAATTTGTCGTTCGTTGTTTCCCTCCTTCTCAGAAACTTCTTCGTTTTAGCCGTTTTGCTTAAATCGTGGAGTGTTTCGCTGTCGGAATATGCCCTGCTCTCTGTTTCACAGGACAGATAGGTAACGTCTGGGTTCTCGTTGTATGTGACTGATTCTTTTTAGTCAGTCGTTGTTGTTTCTTCTTGGAGAATTTAAGGCTCCATCGCCTCATAAGTTAACTGCTCCAAGCTTTCTCCATCTTCATCCACGTATCTCCGCTTTCAAAATTGTCCCAGAACGGTCCCATTCTTTGCTTATATTCCGATGCTTCTTCTATTCCTCCTGTTTCATCGTCTTACACTCTACTCCTCGGCATGCATGCATATTTCTTCGCTATCGTCATGAATGCCATCTCTTCCGTTTTTTCTTGTGCTGTGTTTGCTCCTTCTACATTTCGTTGTTCGCTTTGAGTTTTAGGCAATTCCGATTTCCTGTGCCCAATATTTCC